AATAAATTAAGCTTCATGAAAATTAAAAATTTGGTGAGTCAAAAGACTTCAAGAAACTAAAATAGCAACACAAAGAATGAGAGAAAATATTTTAAGTCATATATCTAATAAGTAACTTGGATCTAGAATATATAAAGAATTCCTACAGCTCAGTAATAAAAACACATAACCCAGGTGAAGTATACAAATAGCTAATATGCACATGAAAGGATGCTCAACACCATTAGTCATCAGGAGACTGCAAGTCAAAACCATGAGATACTACTACACATTCACTAGCATGAATATAATAAAAAAGACTTAGGATGTGGAAAGATTGGACCCCTTGTGGTGGAGTTCACAAGGACACTGTTGGTGGGAATGTAGAATAGTGCAGCTGCTGTAGGAAACAGTCTGGCAGTTCCTCAAATGTTAAACATGGAATTATCATATGACCCAGCAATTCTGCTTTTGTGTATATACCCAGAGAAGTGAATACATATGTCCACACAGAAACTTGTACAAGAATGTTCACAGCAGCATTATTCGTAATAGCCAAGAAGTGGAAACAACCCAAATGTCCACCAACTGATGAATGGGTAAAAGAATGTGGTCTAGCCAGAGAATGGAATATCATTCAGCCACGAAAGCGGAATGAAGTACTGACACACAACAAGGATGAACCTGGGAGATTCAGTGAGGGTAGCTAGATACCAAAGACCACAGAGTGTATGATTTCACGTGTAGGACATGTCTGGAAGAGCCAAGTCCACAGAGACAGAAAAGATGGCTGGGGGCCAGGGGCCAGGGGCGGGGGTGCAGAGGGATGGAACGCTGTCAGCTTGGCTGTGATGGTTGCACAACTCTGAATGAATATAATACCATGGAACTTGATGTGGGTGAATTGTAGCGAATGTGAATTATATCTCGATTAAGAAGTTATGAAAAACAAGGAGCGAACTGGCAGGTGCTGGGGCCAGTGTGGTGGCAAGCAAAGGGTGGTAAGAGTGTGGGTCTGGATCACAATAGGTGGGAGAGGAGGGCGGCAGGGGAGCTGTCCAGCAGGCCGAGGGCTCCTCTTGCCACTCTCAGGGCCCTCCTGTTTAACCCTCTCACATTCCTGAACTGAGGCATGCTGTGGGCCTTATGAGATAACATTCACATCCTCTGGGGACTTGGATGTGGACATGTCTTCAGGGGCCACCATTCAGCCCACTTGATGAGGCCCCTGTCGGCCAGGCAGCAGCAAGATGGCTGAGTGCCTGGGCACAGGTGCTTCTTGGACAGGAACGTAGGTCGTATTTCCTGTAACTTATATTTTCTCAGCAAAATCAGGAGTAAGGTCACTGTAGAGTGAGGTGGGTGGGTGTGGAGCAATGGCCAATACTAGAAGAGCAAGGCAAGCTGACCAGAGAGGGGTGCCACTGTGATGTGCCCGGGGCCCACCTGTGGCCATGGTCAGGTGGGTAGACTGAGAGCAGGTGGCAGGGGTGAATGCCGGGCTGCCATCTGCAGAGGGTCTGGATGGCTGGGAGCAGACACTAAGGAATGATGTGGACGTCAGTGCAAGCAGGCAAAGGTGTCACTGGTGACTCCACCTGGGTGGGCATGCACCTATGTGTGACAAGTGTTTTGGGACTAAGCAAGTACTGCCCTTCTTCCCACAGCCTGCCTACACTCACGGAGTCTGGCTCCTGGAAGCACTGAGCCGGGAAGTGTGGCCCTGTGACCTTGTGTGTGCATGGGAGGGGAGCCCTGAGGCCAGCAGGGGACAGTCCTTCTGTGATGGCCAGCAGGCTCTGACTTTTTTCCTCACTTTACTGGACCCTGAGGCTCAGAGGCTCTGGAATCATCTGGAGATCTGGGCCATGGTGGGGTCCTGCTGGTCATGGGCAGCAGAGTGTGGAGGGGCCCCCACGATATTGCGCCAGTCAGGCCAGCTGGAAGCAGCCATTTGGAGCCCCTGAAAAAGCTTGGAGTGTTGAGGGATGTGGGGGCAGGGGACTCCAGGGGACCCCAGGGGGAGGCAAGAGTGGGGACCCAGGGTGACCCAAGAGGCGAGATGGTGCTGATCAGCTCCAGGTGCACAGACACAGGCAGAGAGTCCTTGCTGTGCAGTGAGTCCACATATACCGAAGACCTACACCAAATAGTTTTTTCTCATAGGTGAGATTGCAGTGTATTTTATTTGCTTATTTTTTTTATATTAATATACATTACTTTTGTGAAAAATGAAAAAACAATTAAAAGTTATTTTTAAAAACTAATACAATTTGCTAAGCCTCGGGTAGAGCCTGGACGTGGGGTCTGGGGTAGAAGCTGGGCTGGGCCCAGGGCAAGAGTTGGGGCAGGGTTCAACAGCTGTCTACACTATGAACTTACTGATGGAACCTCCATAGCAGTGAGGTTTTTTTGTCTGTTTTACTTGCTGCCTGTATTTCCAGGACTAAGAACAGTGTCTAGCAAATAGTAGAAGCTCAACAAAATTTTGTTGAATGAATGAATATAGATTTTATCTAAAATTTTCACTATCATAAATAATGCCACAGCAAATGTTTTTGTGTATAAATCTTTGCAGCATTTATTTTAGGAGGATCACAGATAATGTTTATAAGAAAGAAGTGTTTATGTTAATAGAGTGAAAAAACAAGGATGCAAAATAACATATGTGCTATAATCTCCAAGCCATAAGGATATGTGCAGAGAACCATCTGGGAGAAAATAGACCAAAAAATTAAGGAATTATCTCTGAACATTTGGATGGCAGAAGGTTCTGATTTAGTATGAAAATTTATCTGCATTTTCTACCATTAGAGTGTGTTACCTGTATATAAAGTGAGAGTTTTTAAAGTTAGCTTTGCAAATCGAAAATAAGTAAAACTATGTGTGCTTAATAGCCATTCACAATAACTGAGCATCCTGGTTAGAAACCAAATTCAGGTTTAAGCCATGTTAACTACAGCAGAGTAGACTCACAGAAGACCCAAAATGCCTAGGCTGCATATAGAGCACTGTGCTTGATCATTTGTGTCACATTTAAAGAGTTTTGTCTATCTGGAGGACAGTGGTCAAGGAATGGGTGTTTCTTCCCATATTTCTCATACTTGAAAAGCCAACAAATACCAAAGTCAGGGTTCTCATTTTATGCAGTTATAGGTTTTAGGAAGGCAGTAAATAGGAGGACTTTTCTAATAATCCATGTGGTCAAACATGACAACACTACCTGGAAGGGAGTGGATTCCAACAGCATCTTTCTGGGGCACATGACAGAGCAGCCTGTTGGACTCACCTGGTGCCCCACTTCTGGCCTGTAACCCCCCAAACTCACTGCCTCCTGAAGTCAGAAGAGAGTCCCAGAGAAGCCTTCCCCTTCTTTATTCTTCTTAACTCTCACTGCTAGACATATTGCTACCTGGTGAATCATCTCATTCCTTTTGTTACCCCTCTGTCTGGAGCAGAGAAGACTTACTGTCAAGGTCACTGAGAACACACTAGTGTTTAGAGCACAGACCAGCGCCTCGCACACAGCAGGGCCACCATATTTGTTCAGTGAACAGTGGTTCTTAAAAGAAGCACAGGGTTCAGGCCACCTTAAGGGAAGAAATGTCGGCAATATAAAAATTGATTGTACAACTCAGCACTGAAAAAAATAACAATCTGATTTAAAAATGGGCAGCAGAGGACTTGAATAGACATTTTTCCAAAGAAGAAATATAGATGACACCAGACACATGAAAAGAGGCTCCATCCACATCGCTAATCAGAGACAGGAAATCAGAGTCACAATGAGGTTATCACCTCGCACCAGTCAGAATGGCTACTATCCAAAAGACAAGAAATAACAAGTGTAGGTGAGGATGTGGAGAAAGGTAACTTATCTACACTGTTGTTGGGGATATAAATTGGTGCAGCCACTGTGGAAAGCAGTATGGAGGCTCCTCAAAACACTAAAATTAGAAATAGCATAGGACCCAGGAATTCCAATGCTGGGAATTTAAGAAAATAAAATCACTAATCTGAAAAGATATCTGCACCCTTATTCACTGCAGCAATATTTACAATAGTCAAGATACGGAAGCAACCTAAATGTCCATCGATAGATGAATGGATAAAGAGGTGGTACATATACACCGTGGAATATTATTCAGTCATAAAAAAGAATGAAATCTTGTCATTTGTGAGAGCATGGATGGACCTAGAGGGTATTACGCTAAGTGAATTAAGTCAGAGAAATACAAATACCACATGGCTTCACTTACATGTGGGATCTAAAAAAAAAAACAAATGAACAAAGAAAACTGACTCATGAACCAGAGAACAGACTGTTGATTGTCTCTGTGGTGGGGAAAGTAGGTGAAGAAGAAAGTTATCTTGATCTGGGCCATGGTGACAGGAGTGTGTTAACATGTCAAAATGCATCTAGCTGTACTAAGATTCGTGCATTTTAGTGTATGTACCTCAATACAGAATAACTGGGGCTCCAAGGACAGATAACCGCATAAGGGAAAAGCGGCCCATCCACATAGTGGAGTGTCCTCCGCCTTGAAATCGGAATATCTGCAGCGCGGGTGCTCCTGGAGCCATCCGCCAGCATGCGGGCTGCCGCTCCCATGGGTGGGCGCGCGCCAGAGCCTTCCGGCCGCCGAGACGCGGCTCGCTGCGTGCTCTGAGCGCAAGAGACGGGAACCGCCAAAACTCGAACAATGGGCGCTGGGCACTCTTCTCGGGAACACCCGGAAGGCCGCAGGCCCCGCCCCCCCACCGCAGAGCCCGCCCCCATCCGCTCCCAGGCCCAGTCCTGGTGGAGACCGAGCAGGAAGCGCCGGAGGCCCCACGGGCACCGCTGCAGAGGGGTGTGGCGAAGGCGGGGACGCAGGTCTTCGTCCCTGGCCCCCTGCTCGCCCCGCCCCGGCCGCCGGCCGCCCCGCGCAGGCCGCAGCCTCCCTCCCGACCGCCTGCTCGGGGCTCCACTGCTCTGGCCTGGGGGCGGTGCCGGCGCGCGGCGTCATGCATATGTATGAGCGGCGCGGTGGCTCCATTGTGCTCTCGGAGCGGGCGGCAGCGCGATGGCGCGGGAGGCGGCGGCCCCGGGGTGGCGGGCGCCGCGCCGGACAGGTTGAGCGCATGAAGAGGCGCGAGCCGAGGGCCGCGGCGGCGAGGGGCCTGGCCGGGTCGCACGGAGGTGAGCGCGCCGACCGGCAGGTGGGGGCGGGTCGCAGGTGCGCGCGCGGCAGGTGCGGCGCCCGGGCCTGGCGCTGCAGCGCCTCGGGCCGGAAGGCTGACCGGCCGGCCGCCCACCTGCCTCACCAGCCGCGCGCGACGTGGTCCCGGGCCCACGTCCTGTACGCGCCGCGACCCTCACCTGGGCCTTTGTTGTGCTGTCCGGAAGCCGGCCGAGCGCCTAGGGCTGTGCGAAAAGCCGGGGGTGGCCCGGGCCTGCTCAGGTCCGTCCCACCCCTCTCCTGACGGGGCACACTGCAGCTCGGGCGGGGGGTTGTCCTATCCCCTGTGTGTCCCTTTCTAGCTTTCCCCGGCCCCGCTTCCCCATCCCCCGCTTCGGCCCCTGACCTGCATCCCAGCACCCCCTTCGCTCTCCCCACACCTGCTCCCCGCCTGCCCTGCCCCCCTTCCCTACCCCCGCTCCCCTTTCCGCCGTTCACCTGCTTCTCCCTGCCTCCATCCTCCTTACCCCCATCCAGCTCCCTCTCCCCGCCCCCGTCATGCCCTCTTCCCCGTAGTGCAGATCATCCGCGGTCATGTCTCTAAGTCATGTGTACTATCTCAAGAATTTGCGGGGACATACACAGAACACGTGATCATCTGTAGATGCGATGGATGGAGACCCTCGCCCATCAAGTCCTGGCATGCTAGAACCAGAGGGCCTCCCCCGAAGGAGCTTGAGTGAGGTAGCAGGATAGGAGAGGGGATCTTATCCTCACCCGTGGGTACTACCTTGGGCACTTGGGCCCCGCGGCGTGGTTACAGGCTAGAAATAGAAATCAGGAAGCAGGAATGTGTGATGATCAGTGGTCCCCCGTCTCCTGAGGGACAGGCAGGGTGTGCCTGGGGCGGACTCGTTATGACCGGGATGGTCTCCTAGGCCTGCATGCCTCCCTGTGGAGTGACCTCCAGCACCGGCTGGTGTCCCCCAGGTGGGAAGCCAGGGCTAATAATGAGCCACGTGTCCTTCCCTCTCCTCAGTCCTAGGGTGGCCACCATGTACCCATACTGTAAACTGAGACGTAGAGTAGCAAATCCCTTCAGCCATTTTCTGAGAAGTCGTACACCTGGGCTGTTCGTGAATGCTGGTTTCTGGGCATTGTGGGTGGGCTCTGCATACCCCCGTCAATATTGTGGCCTTGCAGGTAAAGGGGCAGGACTTCCAGCCATCTGCGTGTGTCCTCCCGTCCTCCTCCAGCCATCATTTCTCTCTTCTCTGAGCCTGTTTGACTCCAGTGTCCCTCTGGGTGGGGCCTGTCCCTGGAACTATGTGGGCTCTCTGCTGCCGTTGGAGATAGCTGGTCGCTCTTCTGCAGCCTTGGAACAGGCTGCCTTCCTGGGGTCGGGTGTCTTGTCATGGGGGCATGCTGCTCCTGGGTGAGCAGGCAGGAGTCAGAGTAGAGGTGGAAGAGGGTTGACCCACATTAACATCTGCCTTTGGTTGGCACACTGGAGCCTGAGGTGCACTTGCTCAGGGTGTTCCTATGAAAGAAGGGTCTGGGAAGTGTCTAGCTCTTTTTCTAGAGGAAGATGTAACTGACTCCCAGAAAGCCTTGGGGCCTTCTCGACCAACCTTGTGCTAAGGGCATTTCTGCTGAGGGGTTCTGGTTGTACAGGGAGAGCCCCTGGCAGGCCCCCTGCACCCTTCCAGGCTCCTTCCCACATCTGCCTTTGAGGCCAGGAGGTGGAAGGAGGGGTGCTCCCACAGCACGCCTCTCCTTTTGTCAGGAGCAGAGGGTCACATGGCACTTGACCGGGCAAGTGTGGGTCTTGTCAGGTAGGAGACCACTTAGTTGAGGGCTCAGCAGGAAGTCACCACCCTGTGCAGTGAACTTGGGGAACTGGAAATGTCTGTGGTCTTGTCCACAGCAGAAAGCCCACAGAGGTGGAATTCCCCGGCTCATGTGATCTAGGAGGTTGCCCTGGGCCCCAGGCCAGCAGCCTCCACAGGGGCCCCCGCCCTGCCCCCTCCTCCGCTAGCTCTCTGAGGCTCTCCCACTGTGTTCTCAGTTAGAATGCAGTTCTTAGGACCCACGCCTTCCTCCTGACTCTGGGGGTGGGTTTGGGCAGCCGTGTTCCCATCTGGCCCTCCAGGTGATTCTGGCAGCTCTCTGAGGGATTCTGGTGCTGGAGTTGGAGAAGCTGCAGTTCTGAATGGCCTTGGGCAGTAGGCTCCTCTTTCTCTTGCTTCTCCTGCCCTTTGCTGGGTGGGAAAGGACAGCGTGGGCATCTGTGTGGAGAGACAGGGCTGAGGGTTGTGTTTTATAACTGAAGTTTCATCTTGAGAGAATTACAGATTCACAGGCAGTTGTAAGATAGCTAGAGCCCTTGTGTCCCCCACCCAGTTTAGCCCAGTGGTAACATCTCCCAAAAGCTGCAGTGACGTCACCCCAGGATCCCATATGGGCAACAGCAGGTCCAGGTGTTTCCTTCCTAAGTTCACACCCGCTTGCCTCCTCCCCACCCGGAAGCCACTAGTCTGCTCTCTGTTTCTATAAGTCCATCATTTCAAGAATGTTACATAAAGGGAATTGTACTGGGTAACCTTTGGGGACTGGCTTTTTCCATGCCTTTTCAGGCCTCCAGGCTCTGGGTGCAGCACAGTTCGTGGACTTCTTCCCACTGAAGGGCATCTGAGTTTCCCTTCTTCAGCTCTTGGTAACAAAGCTGCTATAAACACTCTGCAGAGACTTCTGTGTGAGCAGAGTTTACATTTCAACTAGGAGGGCAGCAAGCAGTTGCGCGCCTGGACTCACACGAAGCTTCCACCCCTTCCCAGAGTGTCTGTACTACTTTCCATTCCCGCCAGCAGCGTGCGAGAGACCCTGTTCCTCCCCACCTGCCTTTGGCGGTGCCGCCCGTTTCATTTTAGTTTTCTGATAGGTATTGTTTGAACTGCATTTCCCCGTGGCCGGTGATCCTGAGTGCTCTTCCTGGGCTTGTTGCCCCCTGTGTGTCCTTTTCTGTGACACGTCACTTGTGCCTACTTTCTAGTTGAATTGCTTTTTCCCTTTTGGATTTTGAGAAGTCTTTATATGTTCCAGGTAATAGTCCTTTGCACAGCTGGGCTTGCCCACCAGGGCTGCCACCAGGGAGAGGTCTGCAGTGTGCCCTCATAGGATGGCGGTGCTTTTGCTGTGGGTCTGAGAACTCTCTCCTCAAGGCTGGATCCGGAGGGTCCTCCTCTGTGTTTTGTGTTGTGCATTTAAATCTATGGCCCATGTTGAAGTAGTTTTTGTGTAAAACGTCAAGTTCAGGTCTTTTTTTTTGCCCTTGGGTGTCCAGCCACACCACCACCACGTGTTGAAAATGCTGTTCTTTCTCCACTGCTTGGTTTGGCACCTTTGTCAAAAATCAGTTAGGTGGATTTGTGTGGTCTGTTTTGGGTTCTCTGTTCTGTTCCATTGACCTGTGTGTGTATCCCCCTACCAACACAATGGTCTGGATTAGCCCATACTGATCTTAAGCACATACTGCATGTGGTTCCAGGCCCAACACAGCAAGTCTGGGGAGGAGATTGCCTGCTGGCAGGTTCCCACCCCAGTGTCACTCTCCTGGAGTTGGGCTGTGGGGACTGGGGATGCCAGCCTTCCCGTGCCTGGCTGGGTGATCCTGGCTCCCAGGCCTACCTCTGCCCAGAGGTCCAGGTGCCCAGAGCCTTCTAAAACCACTGGCCCTGCTTTTGCTGGCCTCTGCACTCTGGGTGAGACCTGATCTGGGGGAGGAAGGAGAGCACCTGAGGCCTGACTCCTCTGGGAAGAGCATCAAGAAGGGGCACAGGACCAGGTGTGAGGTGGGCAGGCATGCACTGCCTCCCCCTGCCCCTCCCCGCTCCCCTTCCTTCATCTGGCCCTGCTCTGCTGGGACTGTGGGACCTGCTGAACTCAGAGCTTTGTCCAGAGCCACCCGTGGGAGGCCCCACTGCACCCCTTACCTGCTCTGGGGCCCTAGTGAGGGATTCACCCCCTGGCATGCCTCCAGGACTGCATTTGCAGTGTCAAGATGATTACCCTCCCTCCCTTGGGCCGCCCTGGTCCCCACTCAGAAATGAGAGCATTGGACCCTCCAGGGCCTTAGGAGGCCCTCTGACTGCATGCAGGGATCTGAACCAGCAGAGACTAGCTGCCTGGGAGCCATCTGTGTGTGAAGGTGCGAGCTCCAGAATGGGACTTTCCACCCAGGCTTCCCGGAGGGCCATAGCCAACCTGCCTCTGTGGTTGGGCCAGGCAGAGGTGGGCATGGAAGTAGGGCCCCGGGGGTGCCAGGGAGGACCCTAGGCCGTTCAGTAAAGGGCTTGCTTAGGGGGGGTGTTTGAGGACACAGGCAGCCTGGAGGAGCAACCAGCCCCTGCCTCAAGCCAAGTGGGAAGAGTTTTTCTTGCTGAATGGGGGGAAGCCCCCAGCACTGGCGCGAGGGTTCCACACATGTCTGCCGTCTGCTGCTGTCGTGTCCCCGTCAGCCCTGTGCCTTGTTGGCTCCCCGTTGTGAGCATGTCCCTGTCCGGCTCTGCGGATGTCACTGTGGTCTCTCCAGGTGAGGTCTGCTCGCCTGGTCCCTGTGCCAGCCTCAGTCCCAGGAGACCCCTTGGCCTGCACGTGGGAGTGAGCACAAGCCACCCTTCTGCCACCCTGGGGAGAGGCCTCTGGGCAGCTGCCAGCCCCACACCTCATTCCAGCAGGCATCCTGCACCCTAATCCCAGGCCGGGCTGGAGGGTAGCTGATCTTGCCAGCCCCTGGCCTCCAGTACCCCTCCCCAGAGTGGGCATGCTCCATACCCTGGCATGTGGTGCCCCCAGCTGGCCCTCTGTCCTCTGCTGGCTCTGGATTCAGTGTCCTGGGGGGATCTGGTGATTGGGTCCTTCTGAGTCCTTCTGGGGTGATCTGGCGATATGGTCCTGACATTTCTGGACATCCAGGCCTTTATGTGAAGAGTAGTGTGGACAGTAATTGGTATCAGCCCTTCAGGGTTCTAGAGCGCAGAGGTTTGCCAGGGCGGTGTGGGTAGGGCTGATGTGAGGGTGCCCTGTGCCCTGTGTACAGGGTCTCCTGGCCGCATCTCCACTGGTACCCTCTCCCACCTCTCCCTGCAGCCAGAGCAGCTGAGTTGCTCATGAGCACTGCTGAGGGCTGTCTCCTGCCCCCTGTGCACCTGGACTCCAGGCTGCTTCAAGGCCCATGAACCCCATGAACCCCATGAAATCGCGCGGGTGAGTGGGGACTCCTACCACCCTCTGAGGCCTGGGTGGGGCAGCAGAGCTGGACGCCCTGCTCCCAGCCTTCAGCTCTGACCGGCCCCACCCCATGCAGTGATGGTCTGTTCGCGTATGAGGCGGTGCCTTGGCAGCAGAGTGCCACTCAGCCCGCAGGATCGCTGTCCGTGGTCACGACCGTTTGGGGCGTGGGCAGCGCGGCACAGAGCCAGGTGAGCCGCCTTGTGTCTCAGGCAGGCAGAACCAGGCCTCCTGTGCCTCCCATGTACGTGGGCTCTAGTTCCCCACAAGTGGCCTGGGGTCCCTCCTCCTGTCTTCATGGGGCCTCCGGTGCCCCATGCTCCTGCCCACCTTTCCCTGTATCCTCTGCCCCAACCCCCTCATCATGCAGGCCTTGAGAGCCGCTGTGGGAATCAAGCTATTTGTGTGGTTTCCTTTGGTGATTCTCACTCCCTCACAGGTTTTGGGGAACCCCCTGGGCCCCACAGGGAGCCCCCCCGGAAGCTCCATGATGCCCGGCGTGGCAGGCAGCAGCCCTGCCCTCAGTTCTCCGCAGTGCCTTGGACAGCAGGCATTTGGTGAGGGTGGCACTGGCAAGAGCTTCATGCAGCAAGGGGTGTACAGTCGTGGGGGCTACCCCGGGGGCCCTGGCTTCACCACTGGGTAAGCAGGGCCTCCCCACTGGCAGGGACGATTCTAGCTCAGTGGGTGCCCAGGGTAATGTCATTGAATGCCCATGTCTGCCCCTGCTGCCCCCAGCTGACGAGGGGCATCTGGCTGATGGTCTGGGAAATGCTGCCGAGCTGAACCGTGTCTCTTGCAGGTATGCAGGTGGCCCGGGGGTGCCAGGGGGTCTGGGCCTCCCCTCACATGCCACACGGCCTTCCACGGACTTCACTCAGGCAGCAGCAGCTGCAGCTGTGGCTGCAGCTGCCGCCACAGCCACAGCCACAGCCACAGCAACGGTGGCCGCCCTGCAGGAGAAGCAGAGCCAGGAACTGAGCCAGTACGGAGCGGTGAGGCCCAACAGCTCCCGCCTTGTGGGCCGCGCATGCTCATCTGAGAGGCAGGGAGCCATCAGGAGCTGGGGCCAGGGCCTGGCGTGAGCACGCACTGGGCTGGGGAAGACGAGGCCAGAGGAGATTGTGGGAGGGCAAGAGGACAGCAACAGCTGGGGCCTGGATGGCTCTTCTCTTCTCTCCCCAGATGGGGGCCGGGCAGGCTTTTAACAGCCAGTTCCTGCAGCACGGAAGTCCTCGGGGGCCCAGTCTCCCAAGCACCATGAACCCTGCCGGCCTGGGAGGGCTGACGGGGCCCATGGGCATGAACCCCACCCGGGCTGCAGGCATGGCATCCCTGTACACGGGGCAGCGCCTGCCCCAGCAGGGGTACCCTGGGCCCCCTCAGGCCCAGCCGCTACCCCGACAGGGGGTCAAGAGAGCCTACTCCAATGAGGTGAGTGTCCGGGCCTCCCTCATCTTGAGCACCATATGGAGCCATAAGAGGCTGGGCGTCTGTGAGAGAACTGGCCATGCCTCCCAGGGTGGGCGCTGCTGTCCCTCCAGGGAACCAGTATCCCCGACACCGCCCTTCCCCCGTGCACTTGCCTCTTTCCCCCTCCAGGTGTACCCAGGGCAGCAATACCTTCCAGGAGGCCAGTACGCGCCCAACACCACCCAGTATGCACCTGGCACAGGGCAGCCCCCCGGCCCCTCCTATTCCGGGCACAGGCTGCCCATGCAGCAGGGCGTGGGCCCAGCCCTGCCTACCTCCGGCCCTGTGGGGCTGAACTACAAGGTAGGGCCGGTCTCCCAGGCTGCTGCAGTGGTGTCGGGCCCATGCTGGGGGTCACAGATGGGCCTGAGGCAGTCTGCGCTGGCTGGGGAGTGGGCCAGCATGCCCACAGGGTGACCAGGTAGCTAGGGGCTTCTCAGAAGTCCTGATCAGCACAGTGCAACTCCCAGAGTGGGGTTCAGTTCCTCAAGGGCCCTTTGTGAGATACGCCTGTCAGTGGAAACTCTGGGGGAGTAGGCACTGGAATGGAATGTCCTTTCTTGGGTCCCCATTCCCTCTCTGGAAAAGCCAGGTGAGGGGACAGGCCTGTCCCTTTGTGTGAGGGGGAGGAGCCTAGGTGCCAGGAGAGGAGGGGGTGTTTGTACCTGTTCCCTTTTCAGCCCCTTGAGCAAGTGGGGTCTCTTCTTCACATGGTGGCAACTCTTTAAATTCTGAAATTGGTATCTACTCCCTGTAGACCACTAGAAAACACAAAAAGCATACAAAGAAGAGAATAAAAGCCAACACCCATGTGTGCGGTGGGTGCCCTGCCCCGACCTCTGCTGGGGTCCAGATACATGTCTTCTCTCCTTCAGCCCTCAGAGCAGTTCCATGGGCAGGGTACCAACTTCAATGGGACTGCCAGCTACAGCCAGCCTGGCCTGAGTGGGGTACAGTCACTGGGCGCTCTGGCGGGGGCTCCCAGGGTGGGTGTGTAGGGGTCAGGACCTGGGCTGCCCTCACCCATTCCTGTTCGGACCCTTCCCAGAGGGGGTTCCAAGGACAGACCCCATTCCACCACCCCACTGTGGCTCTTTGCTTGACCCCACAGCCTGCCCGGTCCATCCCTGGCTACGCTAGCTCCCCAGTGTCGGGGAGCCCCACACCGCCCATGACCCCCAGCGGCAGTATCCCCTACATGTCCAGCAGCCAGGACATCAAGCCTGCCTTCCTGCCCGAGTTCAAGCCCAGCACTGGCTCCTTGCACCCGGCGCCTCCTGGTGAGTGCCGTCTGCTCAGGAGTGGACGGCGGGGACTGGGGTCGGGCTCCACCTTCATCTCTGTTCCCTACTGCATTTGCAAATACACTCGAAGTGCAGTGTCTTCTCTCTGGAAAATACCCATGTGCACAAAATGTTGTGTCTGGTTGCTGCGGACCTCTGAGCTCCCCAAAGGCCACTCCTAGTTAACCCCTGCTTTTGGGGAGATGAACAGCAGAACTTGGGGTCTGAAAACCCTAACTTGAGCACTAGGGTGATGGCAGGTGGCCTGTTCAAACCTCCTTGACCTCACCTCTGAAGGCACTAGAAGGCCTTCTTTCTGGGTTGGGTGCATATTCCCCAGTAATGATTTAGGGAGCACCGAGCCAGGCGATGGAGGCAGGACTCAGCTGAGGGACACCACAATCCTGTTACCTTTGGGGGGGTGGCTGGCCCAGAGCCGCAGGAGAGAGGCCGCCCAAACCCAGGCCTGTGGCCCTCACTCGCCTTGGCACCACCCTTGTAGTGGGGTGGGCAGGCCACTTCCCAGGCCACCATGCCAGCTGCCCTGGTGCTTCTCACCACGCGGCCTGCCTGCAGGCAGCAGCCCCTGTGACGAGCTGCGGCTGACCTTCCCTGTGCGGGATGGGGTGGTCCTGGAGCCGTTTCGCCTGCAACACAATCTCGCTGTTAGCAACCACGCTTTCCAGCTCCGTGATTCTGTCTACAAGACCCTGATGCTGAGGTGAGCAGGCTACTGCCTGGCACTGGGTGCCAGCCCTGCACTCAGCGTCCACCCCCTGCACTCAGCGCCCACCCCCTGCACCCATCCCCACTTAGGCGCCCATCCCCACATGCAGTGCCCGCCTCCCGCAGGCCTGACCTGGAGCTGCAGTTCAAGTGCTACCATCACGAGGACCGGCAGATGAACACCAACTGGCCCGCCTCGGTGCAGGTCAGCGTCAATGCCACCCCACTCACCATTGAGCGTGGCGACAACAAGACCTCCCACAAGCCGCTGTGCCTGAAGCATGTGTGCCAGCCAGGCCGCAACACCATCCAGATCACCGTCACAGCCTGCTGCTGTGTGAGTGCCCTCACAGGCCGGCCCTGGGCAGAGGGGAAGGCGCACTCCACTTGTCCCACCGGCAGTTTTGGTGTGGTCTGCTCACGGGCACCTGGGGAAGCAACCAACTCCACACACCCTCACCACTCTCCCGTTGGCCCAGTTAGCCAGCCAGAAACCCAGCCAGCCTACATCTTTAGGGAGGAGGCTCACCTGGGAGGCCCCTGGCACCCTGCAAGGCTGGGACATGGAGGCCGTGCATGACCGGCAGCACCCACCAGAGGGGAATGGGGGCCAGTGCAGCCCCTGGCAGCCTGCAACGTGGGAGGTCTTCCCTCAGACCAGTGTGGGCGGGGGAGGTTGGTGCGCCCATGGTGCTTTGCAGAGACACGGTGGAACAACTCACCTGGGCCATGTAGCGAGCTCTGCACATGGTGGGGGTGGGGGCTGGCACTGCCTTGTCCACATGCCAATAGCTGCCTCCCATTGCAGTCCCACCTCTTCGTGCTGCAGCTGGTGCACCGGCCAGCTGTCCGCTCGGTGCTGCAGGGCCTCCTCAAGAAGCGTCTCCTGCCTGCTGAGCACTGTGTCACCAAGAGTGAGTGGCCCTGGGGCAGCCAGCCAGCCTCCACTCAGCATGTCCCCATGTCGTGGGCTCCGTCTTGGGGGCAATGGTCCACTCCAGATGCCTGTGGAGCTGTAGGGCCAGCAGCCACGGGTCCCAGTTAGCCACCCTTTTCTCAAGTCCGTTCCCTCCAATGCCAGTCAAGCGGAACTTCAGCAGTGGTACCATTCCTGGCACCCCTGGGCCCAACGGAGAGGATGGGGTAGAGCAGACAGCCATCAAGGTGTCCCTGAAGTGCCCCATCACCTTCCGCAGGATCCAGCTGCCTGCCAGAGGCCACGACTGTCGCCACATACAGGTGAGTGGCTATTGCAATGTTTCACTTAGCAGAAGTGAGCTTTTAGCACTTTGGTCAGCAGGTGACAGGACAGGTGACCAGTGGCCAAGTGGCTGTCTCCCCTAGTCACTTCCCTTAGGCAAGGCGTTCGTGTCCTCGCAGGGACCGCTTTACTGTGGTCTCAGGATCACCAGTGCAGGGAACTGGCTTCTCCTGGCCATACCCCACGTCCCCATGTCATGGCTTGGAGACATGTGTGCCCTGCTTAGTGCATGAGTGGATCTCACTGCTCTCTGCCATGGCTATGTGTCCTAGAAGTGGTTCCTTTCTTCATGACTGCCTGATTCTGGCTTCAGCCACAGGGCATTCCAGTCCCGGGGGTTGCATGGGGGACCCCAGGTTGCTCCACTGGGTGGTGCTGGGGAGGAGACCCAGCACCTGTGGCTTCTTATGTGTGTGAGTACTTAAGTCATCTGCTCCTGAATGCCCGTCCTGGACCTCAGGGTGTGGCCAGACTGCCCCTGGCCACAGTGTGCAAGTCTCTTTCCTCCCTGCAGTGCTTTGACCTGGAGTCGTACCTACAGCTCAACTGTGAGCGGGGGACCTGGAGGTGCCCCGTGTGCAAGTGAGTGTGTCAGAGGAGGGCCTCCTGGCACAAGCTGGCAGCAGGGTGGCACTGCCTCAGAGGCTGTCTGGGAGCCTCCTTCCAATAGCATTGAGAAATGCCCAAGCCATGTGTGGGGATCCCAATACAGACAGGGTGGTTAGCGCAGGGCACAGACCTTATACAGGGTGGTCTTCTATGGTCTTTACCCCCAGGGTCCCCATGTGAATGGCTAACCTGGGAAGTGACACCCCTGTGCCCAGGGTGTGGTTGGGCCAGGCCTCTGAGCCTCCTTTGTTTTCCACAGCAAGACGGCGTTGCTGGAAGGCCTGGAGGTAGACCAGTACATGCTGGGCATCCTCATTTACATTCAGAAGTGAGTCTCCTCCTGCCATTCAGGCAACATGGCGCAACCCTGGATAGGGTGTCCCTGCTCTACACATGTAGTGGCTCGGTTCCAGGCCACGGCACAGTCCGTGTCTCCAAGGGAATGTGCAGTGTCTGGGTGGCCGGGTGGCCTGGGGGCCCCCGAGCACCGGAGCATAAGCTCCATCCAAAGATGTCCCAGAGGCAGGAGGGTTGGTAGGATCGCGGTGACCAGCCCACATATCCCATCCAGCTCCGACCATGAGGAGATCACTATCGACCCCACGTGCAGCTGGAAACTGGTGCCCATGAAGCCTGACGTGCCCATCAAGGAGGAGCTGGATGGGCCGGTGCTGAAGCGCTGTCGCACCGTGAGCCCCGCCCATGTGCTTTTGCCCAGTGTGGTAGAGCTGGTGGCCGCCCTAGGCCCTGGCACCACTCCTGGCAACCATGCCAGCCATGGTGAGTGGGCACCCAGCCCAGGCACACAGTGTCCTCTCCACGCCTGCCACCCGTGAGGGTGTTGCAATGTTACCTGAGGGGGTGACCAGCTGGGAACATGGCAGGGCAGTGCGGCCTCAGCCACACCCGTGGGGCAAGCGGCAGGGCCCCTGGTGCATCTGGACCCACCCTCCCCAGTGCATTGGGACAGGCTATCTGCTGGTCCGTTCCAGGGACGGTTGCATCCACTCCCTGTGTGGGAATGTGGGTTCCGCTCCTGCCCCTGAAGGCTCCCTGGCAGCAAGCCTGGCAGTGGCAAGAAGTGCCCTTCCGGTAGTCACTGGGCTAAAGCCAGGTGTTTCTGTGGGTCAGCACAGCCAGCCTTCTGCCTTCACGAAGACCTGTGTCCCCTCAGGTTCCAGCTTCCCAGGACCTGGGGCCTTCCCGGACCCCTTCTCGCCTGCCACACCCAGCACCCCAACCCTCCCCGAGTTTACCCCAGGGCCACCCGCCACCTCCTACCAGTCCGACATTCCCAGCAGCGTCCTGACAGCAGAGAAGTCATCCCCCTGCCTCCCAGGCCAGGTCAGTCTGAGCTGAGGGGTGGAGGGGTCACTGCCAGGGAGCCCCTGAGCTTTTGTATCAGATTCTTCTCTCCTTCAGATGGGGCCAGCAGGTCACCTGGACCCAGCCCACAACCCTGGGCTCCCAGGGTTGAATGCCATTGCCCTTGGAGGACCCCCTGGGCACCCACTGCATCCAAACCCTCCCCCCGCATCCCGGCAGCCCCTGGGCCCAGTGAGTGCAGCTCCTGTTGGCGAGCTGACCTTTGGTGCTACCACAGGCGTGATGGGGCTCCCCATGTCTGGGGCAGGGGAGGCCCCAGAACCGGCCCTGGATGTGAGTATGGGGCCCCATACCGGGGAGCGCATGGGAGCTGGGGTTGGGGGCAATCGTCTGCCATCCCCAGGGTCTACATGCTTCCCAGGAGGGGACCTCTGGCCCCTCAGTGACTTCCAGGTGAAAGGAGTGTCATCAGGCACCATGAGCTCTTGATGAGTAGTCGTAGGGTGGCCAAGCGCTGGGCTCTAGGGACCTGGATACCGTGGTGGCACCTGCAGAGTCCTTGCGAAGGTTGATGTGGAGCTGGTGACACCTGCTGGAGGGTCTGGTTTGACCCGTCTGACTCAGGTGGTACTATCCCAGGTCAGGGTGTGAAAGGCAGGTGGCCATCCTCAACCACGATGAAAGGACCCATTGAGGTTCAACACGAAAAAAATCAGAGCAGCTCATGCAGAAAGTCCTGGGGACCAGGTGCCCGTGCCCCACATTTGCCTTGTTTCCTAGCAGCACTGAGAGCAGCTTGGCCATCTGGGGCGGGAACTACAGGTCCCATGTTGACCTTAGACAACTTGCCATGAGCGACTCCTGGTCCCAGAGCCACTTTTACTAGGCTCCCAGAGACGGGCTTAGGCTCCAGGCCATTGTGCAGGGGTGGGCAGAGTGAGGGCAGAGTGCTGATGGGTGGCCTTGTCCTCAGCTGCTCCCGGAACTGGGCAACCCTGATGAGCTGCTGACCTACCTGGGCCCACCCGGCCTCCCCACAAGTAACAACGACGACCTGCTCTCTCTGTTTGAGAGCAGCTGAATCTGTACCTGAGACCCCACCTGGCTAGCAGGGCGGGCCCACAGCTGCCACCTCATGGCCCCTGCAGCCCAGCCCACCTGACAGCCGGTCCTCTCCCACCACCCCAGCCCCTTGGGCCCACCTGGCCCTGAAGCAGGAGGCAGCCCCGCGGCATCCCTACCTACTACCCCGCAGACTGCCCATCGGCTGGCTGTGATGAGATGCCCAGCCCCACACCCATCCACATCCTGCCCCCCCACTGAGCCCAGCCTCTCCTCCTGCCACCCTGCCCAGTCCGCACACCACCATCCATGACGTCCAGGCCTCGCCCTGGTCCATCCAGCCTGCATCTTGTCGGGCATTGATGCTTGTTTCTATGGCCCCTTGGCCAGCAGAGCCAGCGAGTAGCAGGGCTGTTCGGTCCCAGGGCCTGAGCTCACCAGCCTGCTGTGGGCATTCCTCTCCCACCTGAAGGTCTGGCTGAGGCTGCAGGGTAGGAGCTCTAAAGCACAACAATGTACATAGTGTGGAGACACTGCACCTCCCCACGCTCCCCCTACCCTGTGCAGACAGTGCCAGGAGGGACAGGGGTAGCAAGCTTTGGCTCCACCTACAAATTCTTCAGCAGGCTCACACCCACCCTCCACCCTGTTCCTGTCTCAATGGAAGTGAAGGATCAGTCCCAGTGTTCTCAAAGCCGCCTCTCCCCTGTCCCCCCCCGGGGCCACGCCAGGCTGGGGAGGAGCTGCTGCGTCTGCAGGCCCTGCCCCCTATGTGCCCATCTCTATTAAAGGACTCCCTCTTGGTGTGTCTGGTGAGTCCTCTGTGCCCCGCTTGCGCCCCCCACTTGGGTGGGGACTCTGTTTCAAGTTAAGACCCAGCTGTTGCTGCCCTGTGGTAAATTTCCTTGTCCCTGGAATTTTCCAAGTTGGCTTCAGCTGGAGAGCTATTTGTGAAATGTTGCCAAGACCAGAAGACATCTGCCACCATGTCACCTTGCATGGGTGTGCCTGGAGCAGGGAGTCAGCTGTTGGCCTGGAGGCTTGGGAGGAACTGGGACCAAAGGCCTAACACCAGCCCCTGGAGGCTGGGGAGGACAGCTCTGGGCTCCCTTTCCTTGCAACACCTGTGCTCTGCATGCTGGCTGCCTGGGTGGCCTCCTCTTCATGGCTCTGAGTCCTTCCCATCCAGCAGGAGGGTGGGAAGTATCTAGTGTGGGCAGGCCCTGGGCAGCTCTGAATTGTCTGTTGACATTCTGGAGGTAGGCCTTCTCATCCTCTCCGCAGCCCATGTCTCTAGCTGTTCTTGAGTGACAGCATATGCCTGGCATTGCAGGCAGGGAGGCCCCAGGGTTGGTCTGGACGCCCAGTGCAGGCAGGCATGAGCTGGCTGTGCCAGAAGACAGGCCCCTAGAGTGCTTTCCTCACCCACAGCCTGCATCCTTCCTGGGGGTGTGGAACAGGTGCTGGCCCCTGGTGTGGTGTGGTCTCCCTGGGCATCAGTGCATCAGCCTGTTCATCCTGAGGGCTCCTGGATGGAGTGGAGAAATGGGAGATGAGCAAAGGCTGTGAGCCACATTAATGCCCCTTACAGAAGGGTGGGTAGGCCTTGATGGGTGGGGCAGGAGCCACAGCCCTGATGCCCCGACAGGCTCCTCTCCAACACCTGGGACAGCAGAGAGGAGGCACAGCTTCATACACACAAGTCGTTTCTATGAACTCAGCACTGAACGTCTATTTCCTGGAAGTTGGATGGATCTTTCATGTGCAGATCACAAAGGAAAGTGCAGGAATCAATGAAGTGGCCACAAGCCCTCCCTGTGAGGCTTTCACAGGATTGCACTTGGGAAAAGGGAGGTGTTGGGTCCTTAGGGGCTGTTGGGTTTATGGGTTTTCACATTATTATACTTCGTATGTCAACCAGACATGGAGCTTAAAGAACAAAAAGCTGCCTAGACCTGGTAGATGTGGAAAGCACACCTCCCCACACAGTGGAACACACATTCTTCTCTAGCTCACAGGGACTATCCAGGACAGGTCACGTGCAAGGCCACAAAACAAGTCTCAATTAAAAAGATCAAAATGATACAAAGTACCTTCTCTGGCTACAATGGAATGAAGCTAGACCTCTATAGCAAAAGGGAAACTGGAAAGTTGGCAAATACGTGGAAAGTACCACTCTTAACAGCTAAAGGGGCAAAGAAGAAAGCATGGGTGAGATTACAAGACAGAGACAAAAAAAACCCCAGCAAACCAAAGCATGAGATGCAGTGAAAGCAGTCCTGAAGTAGATTTCTAGATGTAAACACTAGAGAGCTCTCAACCCAGCTCTGCTCCTGAAGGAAGTTAAAGGGCCACAATCTCAAACCAGCAGAAGAAAGGGAGCAGAGAAGAGAAAAAAGCAGTAAGGGGTCAAATGAGCAAGAGTCATTTCTTTGAAAGAGCAGAAGGAACAAGCTGTGTGTTAAGACTAAGACATGGAACATGAGAGACTAAAATGAGAAATGAGACAAAATTGGAACCAACAAAAGCTACCAGGAGGGCTGTGACCCAGGCCAAGTGAACCAACTCCCAGGAGCACACATCACTGAAACCCAAGAAGAAATGAGCTCTGAACAGACGTGCGGGGAGTAAGGAGACTGACACTAGTCAAACCCCTGACAGAAAAGCCCAGGACCACATGGCCTCATGGAGACTTCCACAGATGGTCCCAGAGCCACCCCGTACTTGAGCTAAGTGCCGCAGGCAAGGGAATGCCCCTGACCACCGTGGAGGCAGTTCTGCCTGGCACCGTGCCCCTCAGCCCCTGGGAAGGCCCCCCCCTTGGCCCCTGGCCTCACCACCTTCCTGGCTGGGGTACCCACCTGCCTCGGTGCCCACCTGTCTAGGCGGCCCCAGACCCAGGCATTGAGGAAGCAAGAGGCAGAGGACAGGCAGAGGGGGTCTCTATGGGGTCAGGGAAGTGTTTAATCACCCAGGAATGTGGTGCCTTTTCTTACTTGTTCTAGTTTTAATGTTTACCTTTTGTGTCTGGACACATTAGCCACTTGCTTGATCCATTTTCTTAAGTTAGCATGTGGTGACCAGAGATGCTAGGTGCAGTGAGGGCCTAGGTCAGTCCTCCACTGTCCTTGTCTGTGGCCACCCTGCCTGACCTTCGTCACAGAGGTCAATGTGGCTCAGCCTTGAACCTCACTTAAGTGGGGTGGGGAGTTTTCAGTCCTTGTTAACTATAATGTTGGCATTTATTCATCCTCAGCGACGCCCTCCCCAGCCTCTATCCACAGCGCTTTTCTTTCCGGGGCCCTCTCCTCAAACCCTGTCTGGGGGCATTAGCCATGGCTCAAGTTCCAAGTGACCCATTCAGGAGGTCACTCAGAAGGCCACTGAGGGCCTCAGGGAGAGCTAGACTGGGGAGGCGTGACTCTGGGTGGCTTTCTCAGAGATTCATTCCCAGACCAGCTCTGTAGAACAAGGCCTGTGCCTGGAACAACGTTCCCACTGGCTCACTGCAAAAAGGCCCTGACCATGCGCACCTTTCCATCCAAGCTGGAATTCCAAAACTGGCCCTGGCTGGCTTAACTAGGGGGACCCCCACCACCAAAATGAGGGTCTCTTCTCAAAAGGGGGTGCAGGTGACCCCCCAGGGCCTTGGGATAAAGTCCACATTCCTAACCCAGCCTTCCTCCAGCCCAACGCCCCACCTGGCTGGGGATTCCCAAGTTTCTTGGTGTTATGGCCTAGTGGGGGCCTTGGCTGACCTGCCTTTTCCCCAGGGAGCCCCCTACTTCCAGATTAGGGCGGGGCCTTCTGCTGTGGCCAGGCACCCTGTAAACTGCCCTACCCATCCCCAACACAATTACTTTGTGGTGTGATCATTTCCAAATTTCTGTTAAAAAATAGGACAGTGGACACCTCTCCACCTTTGGGTGCAACTGGGCTTCCCTGCTCACTCCCTGCCATGAGAAATCTGCAGGGTGTGAGCGCTCCCCTCCTCCAAAACTGCACACTTGCTCTCCTCCCCACCTTTACACCCCCTCCCTGTTCTGTGCACACTCGTCTCCTCCCAATCCTGTGTACACTCACCCTCCTCCCAAGCTGCACTTGCCCTCGTCCTGACCTTTACACACTCCCCCCCTCCTGACCTCTGCATGCTCACCACCTCCCCATCCTGTGCACACTCATGTCCTCCGTCCCCCTGCAGGCTGTTTTTCATCCCTCTCAGCTTGCAGCTGTCCTGGTGAAGGAACTGTGTTCTGTGGGCCACTGAAGGATGGTGGCAGTGTGACCCGACACCCTAGGTCCCTCCTGTGTGCGACATGAGTGGGCTACCTGCAAGAGGGCCAGTTAATCCTTGTACTACTTTCCTGCTTGCCATGGCCGGTGTGGCTGTGGGGTCAGGACAGAGGCGTGGCAGCCAGGTAGCCAGCAGCCTCTGCTGGGTGAGGAGCCCTGGGGCCACCTCCCTCCCAGCCACCCTTGCTCCTGTGAAGACTGCCCACGGCTCTAGCCAGTGGGTGTGGCATCTTCTGTCTCCCAGCCAAGGTGTATCCTGAAGGAAAGTGCACAGGACCAGAGCCTGAGGCCTCCACTTCCACCCTTCCACCCACCTGCTATGGGGATGCTGCACCACCATGTTCATGACAGTCCACCCAGCCATGCGACTTAGGCAGGAAATACTGCCTCTCATGGTAAAGCTAAAGCCAAAAATAAAAGCAGCAGGGGTTCTCACCCACTGCTTCTGGGAATGTGGGATGGCACAGCCCCTCTGGAAGGCAGCTGAGGTTTCTTGCAAAACTGAACATGTTCTTACCATAGGATCCAGCAGTCCTGCTCCCTGGTGTTTACCCAGAGGAGCAAGGACTTCTGTCCTCACAAAGCCTGCACACAGATGTTTCAGCAGCTGTATTCATAGTTATCAAAACTTGGAAGCAGCCACAATGTCCTACAGTAGGGGATGGATAAATACCCTGTGGTCCATCCAGACAATGGAATAGTATTCAGCAATAACAAGAAATGAGCTCTCAAGTCACAAATAGGCATGGTGGAGCCTCAAGTGCCCATCACTAACTGAAGGAGCCAACCTGAGAGGCGACTCCTTCTCGATACAATTCCAACTCTGTGCCATCCTGGAAAAGGCAACACTGTAGAGACAGTACAAAGGTCAGGTTGCCAGGAGACAGGGCAGGGAGGGGTGGGCACGTAGGGCACGGGGGATTTTACGGTAGTGAGCCGACTCTGGAGAACCCTAGAGGGGTAAGTACATGACATTATGCATTTGTCCAAGGCCAGAGAACGAGCAACCAAGAGTGACCCCAGTGCAGACTGTGGACCCTGGGTGCTGGTGGCGTGTCCATGTGGGTGTGCTGATCATAACAAATACACCCTCTGCTGCGGGATGTTGAGGGGGAAGCTGGGGGCAGGGGCAGGGGTATAACAGGAACTTTACATTTCCCTCAGTTTGGCTGTGAACCTAAAATGGCTCAAAAACAAGTTTATTTTTTTAAAACCTGTTAAAAAATTGATATCTTACATACTATTTGTAAACATCATATACAATTCTTAGCTATTGCTATTAACTTTTAAACAAACAGCAGCCTAAACAGGTGGCAAGTGGAAGAACCCTGCCCGGTCCTTCAGAAGCTCTGTCCACATCTAAGTTCAGAGAGACAGTTGCTGCTTCTAGGGCCGCTGAGAGTCTGGACCCCTGCCCATGTGAGGATCCCTCAGTGGTGAGGACTGGGGTCCGCACTCCCCACAACAGCAGCTACAAGCAGGCAGAGCTGTCCAGGCAGGGTGCTG